CCAGGAATTACTGATGCTAAGTTTCTTAGTTACTGTATTTACCCCTGCGGCCCACATCAGCCCCAGGATACTGAGGGCACAGCCAGAGGAACTTGTAAAGCATACAGAATATGAAACAATACTTACTAGCTAAGTAATACAATCTTACCTATTTAATTGCTGATTACTTTAAAAGACAGAAAGATGAGCAGGAGGGAAACAGACGGTGTGAACTTATGAGAATTGAAAAGTAGGGAAATACATACAGAGGAAAACAGGCAACGAGGCAGTGGCAGAGGTTGCCCAGAGAAGCTGTGGATGCCCCATCCCCATGCCTGTGGATGCCCAACCTGTGTTCCAGGCCAGGTTGGATGGGGCTTTGAGCAACCTGGTCTGGTGGAAGGTGTCCTTTCCATGACAGGCTGGAACTACATGGTCTTTAAGGTCTCTTCCAACCCAAACCATTCTGATTCTATGAAAAAAGAGAGACAGAAACACAAGAGTAGAGAAAGAATGTAAAGTAGTAGTGAGGAGCACTTTTCTCGGTGATGAAGCGTCCCCATAAACTTAAGCAAGTTTATAAAAGCAGTATTCTGTCACTAAGCCCTGGGAAGTGACCTGCAGCTTCACAGAGCTGAGGAATGCATCCTAAATGTATACAGAGGATTCAAGGTAAAGATTTCAAAAGGAATTAGATGCTTTCCACAGAACGCATTTGGCAGTGATGACTTCTGCCCCCCTACCCCTGGCAATTTCCTAACAGTTTGGGGAGTGGTGGGAGGATAAACATCAAATTTACTTTCCTAGCTCTTTCCTGATCACGTCTACAAAAACAGAGATATATAACTGCAGGGGGGGGAAAAAAAAAAAGAGTAAGATAGAATAAGGCTGGTTAGGGCTGGAAAATGAAGAGATGAAAACCTCCCAAAGCAGACCAAAGAGTAAGAAACAGTACAGACCTACGTTACTCATGAGAGGGAAAAAAAAAAAAAGTCCACACTTTGATCCTAGTAAGAGTCTGGTAATTCACTGGGAAGTGGCAATTTTAACATTATCTAAATCCTTCTCATAGTAGAGGCCCTGAATTTCGTCTCCTATGTATTTTCAAACACACCCACAGCAGACACAAAAGAAACCTGCTATCTAGAGCAAGTTTAAACGTACACACTACGGAGAACAGACTATGTAGTGTTCCTGCCCCTCATTGTTAGTTTCTCCAATTCTAAAAGAAACATGAAGATGCTTTTGTCAGATGTTCTTGTAGCTCTACTTTCCTGCAATAAACCAACCTTCGCTGCCAGGTTCTGCAGTCGTTTCACAAATGGCACAGTGTTTACAAGACATAGCAAAGCACACATCTCTTAAGAGCGTCCATGAATTAGCATTTCTGTTTCAGCATAAACCAAAGGAAATTAAAAAACACACTAGCCGTAGTCGGGTTCAAATCTCACCAGGCTCAAAAGCCACATCTAAAAAGAGGGATCCAGGAATTCTTCTCAAATACAGAGAAGCTGCTAGCCCTGTCCATCTGTCAGAAGACAACCTGGGTGCACAGAAGTCCCCCTCTCTCCCTGGGAATGAAGTCCTGGCCTAGGACTGGCACAGGACAACGGGGAGTTCTACAGAGCTCACGTACCCTACAACCAACATACTGCCCATGAGAATTAAACACATCGACTGCATTCTCTCTAAATAATGAAGTATGCATTGCTATAGTGAAAGAAAATCAATGACATCTCTAACAAAGGGCTTATAACCAGATTTAGGAGATACTGTGATTTTTTTTAGAGCTCAGAAAACTAGATTCTAAGGGGAAAGAATAATAAACTAATAAAAAGTAAATTTACATAATTTTGCTATATTTCTATCATTCAAAATAAGACATTAAATCAATTTCATAACCATATTGTCATCTGCATGTCCTTAGAATGTAAGAGCACGAGAAATAACTGAAGAGTTTTCCAGCTCAAAAATACAGGGCAGAAGGATAAATCATCTAGATGCCACCTTGCTGGTCCAATAATGCAACCAGCCCAAACTCACTGACAAGTCTTTCCTCAGAAAACCATTAACTCTTCTCAGCAAATCTACCTTTAAATAACAAGGTTTGCCATTGGCCCCGAGGGTTACGTACCTCTTTCTCTCTCCTCTGAGGATGTTACTTCTTTATTAACATACATGGGACAGCAACATACAAACATGGAAAGGAGAAAAGAAGCATGAAATAAGTTTTGGCCAACCTATCATCTTTTCTGCTTCATGGAAAGACCTTAAGATGTGAAATACGGTAACTTGTCCGCTCATGAACGGATCATGAGCCACAACTCATCGGTTCCAGCAGCATACACGCCACTCTAACCAAAGTGTGAGGGCATACTAACCATGTACTTAAGTTTAGAAAGCATCTGAAAAGGAAGAAGTAGCATCAAGGGGACTGATCAGCTTTATTACGCAACAAAAAGACAAACAGAAAATAAAATACTTTAATAGGAGAAAAAATAGAAGGTACAATTCAAACATAATATACCGTACTGAAACCATACACAATGCAATGTGAACACGAAAACATTGTTAAACAGCAACCTTCTAGTAAAGATTGGATCTTGTTTCAAGTACAAGCATCATCCATCACAGACAGCTTTTTGTGTATGTCTTGAGTTTCAGTGAGAAAGACCACGACCATCAGCAGCATATTTAAATTGTTTCATTTTCATTAAACGCTTACCTACTGAATGTATTGGATGCAATCATATTAAAAGTCTAAAATCTTAAGCAAGGTAGTGCCTGCCAATACAGATTTTAACATTTGCAAATAAAAGGGATAAACATTTTGCAAAGTTTTTTTTATATTGCATTTATACACATTCGTTGCTTTAAAATGTGTATTCAAGTCTCTCAACATTTAAACGACTAAAATGCTCAGCAACTACACATCAAGTGACAGTTATTGCTATAGAAAAATTTGTTTCCCAGAGTTTTAAAATAGATGTAATTTCATTTGCAATTCTCAAGGTATGTTCAAGTAATAGAAATAAGTAGTTCCAGTGTCCATGAGGCATTTTGAATCTGTATTGGCTGTAGGCATTTATTGTCAGATCATACAAATATTTTATTGAATCTAAAAAAAGTTAACTAAAATTACATATAACTATTAAATTTCTTAGGAAATGTATGCAGTAATAAAATCACCACGGTATGTGTTTTTATTTTAAAAAGCTGAAACGTTAGCATCAGGCTACCTTGAAATTCCTTTCTGTCTAAGGGCACTACTTCATAGTTGGCTTTATAGAGCAAAAGAGAAAGTAAAAATCCAGACAACTTTTTCAGTTGGATCAGTGAACCACTCCAGATCAGTATATGGTCACACAAGCACTAGAGCCAACAGACAACTGAGCCTATGCAGTGAGTACGGGGGTCAAACCGAGAAGCTGGAGTGCAAGATCAACGAGTGGCCTGCTGTCAAAATACTGTATTAAGCCAGTAACAAAATGTAAGACATGTTAAGTTGTTATAAAAAGGATATAACCTTCAGACGATTCTGAAATAGCCAGCTTTCTCTGTATTTTAGCCAGTTATGCCTTCAGTAATGTTTTACTCTTCTAAAAAATGTAAGACAGAAATGTTAAGTTACAGTGCATAGTATTTTAGTTCCAACACTCAACATATTAGAACTAAGATTCAATTCTGAAACCCATCACATCGCAGAATAAGGCATTTCAACCTTATCAGTTTTGGAATATGAAATATCCCCATATTTAAAGAATAATCAAAACCTGTATTTGGAGAGCAAATGGGAGCTAGGGTGTAAGAAGCAGATTGTACTTCAGCTGCACAACTGATATTATTACACATAAATCACCAACTAGGCTAGGAAAATTACTGGGGATGTTTTCCACCATGTATACAATACCCATTAAGAACAGTAAGTTTCACATTGGGCGATGGCAACGCAGGATGAAGAGTCAGTCCTAAAAGGTATACATTCGGAACAGTCTCTGAACCTCCAAAATGTAAGCTGCGCAGCTTTCTTTCCCCTTCTCCCCATTAGTATTAAATAAAAGACCTTAAAGTTCTTTTACAAATGGATTTTCTATTTAAATTCAAAATTGCATTATTGCTCCATTTTCTCCGATTTTAATGACGGTCTTGCTGGGAATGCGGACATCTAGACTAGGAACCCTTAAAATAAGTCGGTAACTATTTTAGAGCAAGTTTTTCTTCTCAGCTGTTTTTTCAAGCCTTTGGATGCAGGAGACGTCCAGGTTTTAAAGTCTGACCAAAATCAACAAGTTCATTTCTGAGTGTTGATAGGTCTGAAGCCAATTAGTTCTCTAGTTATACAGCCTTTCATGAAAGGACAGACCAAAATTTGAATTCCAAATGCAACAACAGAAGTTCTTAAAAAGCTCCAACAAAATGAAAAATTAGCTGGTCCCAGTCCTATACCCAAAAAGTATACCTTTTGCATGTCATCTTGAACTGCTGAGAAAGCACGTCATCTTCCTCAGTAGTTGGGAGTACAGGGAAAATTCCTCACTCGTCACTTTAGTAAGCAAGCATCCTATTTCAGTTATGCTCCAAAAGCGGAAAAAAAATAGATGTCATTATTCCTAGGCAACGGCACCATTCTTTCTCAATGGACGGTGGGGGAAAAAAAAAAAACTGCTCTGCATTGTTGATCTATAGAAAACAAATATTTTTATTTCTTGTTGTTATTTTCATTTACACAGTAACAGTAAAAAACAAAATCACAATATCAAATAAAACTTTGTCCTTGGGCAGAAGGTCGGAAAAAACCTATCATCGCATAGATATCTTAGCAGCTGACAGTTCAACTTAAAGAAACTCCATAGTGCAACAGAGCATCTTTGCATGTCTTTCTAAAGAGACTGCCAAAGTTGGTTTCAGTGAATCCAAATATCTGACATTAATAAAAGAAACCATGTAATTAACAGAGTAGTAAAAGTTAGAGAAAAATCAAGACAACGGTATGAAGTTCCAAAAAGGTCCCTAATTCCACAGGGATAGATCTCAGTAAAGATGCCAAGTTTGAGTTTCAGCAAAATCATTTATGAAAAGTCCTTATGAGCGTGCAAAAAAGTTAAGCCTGAAAAGTGGTCACTGAATACCATTTTTATTAATATACACTTCAGATCACCAACAGAATTAATGTAATTTTTCTCTCAGATAATCAGTAAGACGAAGGGGGGCTATACTTTAAAAGTTCACATGACAGGATTCTTGAACTGCATTTTGGTATTGGGCTTCTTCATCAAGCTGAAGATTCTAAACAAAATGAAAACATCATCAAAATGGACAAATACTCAAGATGTACCACAGTCCTTAGTTTAATCATTAATTTTCCACATTTTTACATAGGAATTGGCACCCAAATGATGCATCTCCATCTTTATGTGTACCAGATGATTTTTTATGTTGCACAGTATCTTTTATTTAACCAAATACCAAGAGATACATGAGACAGGAGAAGGATCAGATGAGTGTGACAAGGCTCATTAAGCAGAAGGGTCCATCTTCTGTCCCTGGCTCAATTACATTACAGAACAGCCAGCTCAGGAAAGCTGACTGTGTCACGCAATTCTTCTAACAGGGCTTCCAACCAGCCATAACATCCTCCATTAATAAAAACAAAATGTGATACCCAGAGAACAGTAATCATAGATTGTTGAGAATATACTGCTTAAAATGAGAAAGCAAACACGTATCACAAAAGATGGATGGTTAACTCTGCTACTTTTGAAGGACTATCTTCTAAGTTGATAACATGCCAGAGTAATACATCTTTTTAGTACAATTCTGGCAGCTTCCCCAAATCAGAAATCCAGTTACCCGTTTTACATCCTCAAACATGGAAGATGCACTCATGTTGAAGAGCCAAATCCCTCGCATCAGTCTCCTCGCTCTTCATGCCTTTGTCACAGATCACTCAACACAAAGAACAATATGCATCACCTTTGCCATCTCTAACCAGTGAGGCTGCCTATGCCTCAAATACCATGCTTGTCCCACACAAGGTTCAAGCAGTGTAACCCCAAAGCCTATCAAACTCTGTAGAAATCACAACGCAAACTCTCCAGCTCTCTCATCCCACATGCAGAACTCAACTGCTTGGCTTGACTTATGATCCACCCACTGACTACCTCTGTGTATGCAGTTCTGCATCTACTCCAAGGTCATTTACTCAAAGTGAGCTTCAAAGGTGGCAACTAGAACAATGATTTAATGACACATCTCTTTTATACATTGCAGCCTCTCTCACAACATACTGGAAGAAAGGCTGTAGCAGCAATACCAGCTAGTCAAGTTGCACTTTGAGTCCTGAGAATTATGATTTAGCCATTTCCATCATAAAAGGTCAAAAATGTCAATAAAATAGAGTAGCATCTATTTTATTTCCCCCAGAAGCAGCAGCAACAAACTGTTCTGGAAGAACAAATAGTTCAGATTGAGAACACTAAGCTAAAGACTTCAGTCATCAGTTTGAAGCAGAGCTTAACTGTTGACACCACCTATTCCTGGTAGCACTTTACATTGATAATAGGAATTTTAAGAACAGACAGGCCTACTTCCGAGTCCTCTACAGAGCAGCAACATAGCATGTCCAGAACACAAACAAGTTTGGCACAAATTTTTTATTTGGCATTTTTATTTATAGAAAAAAATTTACCATTTATTCCCCTACACATCAAAGAAGAAAAAGCTTACCACAAATTCTCCGTAGTCAAACCGGTGTCTTAGATTTAGATGGCTAACAAGATTTCTAGTAACCTGGTTAGTATCTGCCCAAGGAAGAGATACACAAATAGGACAGATCTAAATTTGGAGGGGAAGGGGAAAGAGAGAGAATTAAAAAAAAGTTATTGGTAATACAGAATGCATTAAAAACATGTTCTACAGGAGTAACTAGTCTGTTATTCATCCACTACCAAAATACAGTACAGATGTTCACATAAAATCATAGTTCTAAGTGTTCTTTTCCTGAAAAATTACATTTCAACTTGCCAAATTTCTTAAGTGTTTCTCTTAAGAGTGGAGGATTATCATGTCTGTCTGGCACTCTTTTTGTCAATTTCTGTCATGTAAAATTTAGAAAAGAAAGTGATTACTGCATCCTACTTATTGTTTGTAAGAATTTTCATACAACTGAGATGATCAAGTAAGCCAAAAGAAAAAATATCACACCTTATACAGATGAAAATAATAGAAAATCAAACAGATTTTTCTCCTTCAGATTACCTTAGATTGCTTTTCAAGTAACTGTAGGTTTCACACGAAACAATAGTTACGTTACAAATGAGATTCTACAGAAACAGATCTGAATTACTAAATGAAGAAGAGTAAGTGTTAGGCTCAAAGCCTGAGTGTTTCACATGAAGATAAATGAGACAGCTAGGTCAGAAATGCCTTAGAACTGACAAGAAGCTGGACAAGAAATATTTTCACATGAAAGTCACTCCTCAAGTTAAATGCACTGCATTATGTATATTGTCTTTCTCAGACCACAGTGATCTTTACAGATACAGACTAGCTACTGCACATTTAAAATTGTCCATATAATTATAATGAAAGTAGCTAAAGAGGCATACATAAGCAAGTCTACTTACTACAGGAACTATCTGATACAGATGTCTATTATTACAGTGATCCAGCAAGCGTTGTCTGGTAAAATTGGCTTCCTGACACAGGGGGCATTTGAAGGTTGGGTGTCCACTGTAAACAAAAACACACAGTATTAAATAGAAAAGAGAGTTTTAGAAGCAGTGTTACAGAGAGCTTAATTCATCTGTTACCTTGTCATTGTTTTCCCTTATTTTGATAACAACAAAAAACCCCCCACCGACATAGCAGCGGATCCAATGGAGTTCCAGTGCTACTTCCAAATTGCAATTTTAAAGTACATTTATTATTTGTACACCTAAATGCATTCTTCCGAGACCTGCACTTTCGAAAACTCTTCTGTTCCAATTGCAGCTGCATCCTGTTCTTACTTACTGGTAACATCTTTTATGGAAATCCTTCAGGAAAGTACTGAAAAAACCCAAATTCTAATGTACAGATGCAAATGTATAAGAAACTACAGGGTGTTTTTAATACAACTTTTTGTAGATGTTTGTGTGGTGTTTTTTAAGTTAGAAGTTTGTGCTATGACTGTCTGGATCTATTTTAATAATAACTATAGAAAAATAAGCAGCCTACCTTGTTTCTCCTTGAAGTATTTGATTATTAGCCATCTCGCCATTATCAGATATTGCATCACTCCTGCTACTTCAAATGAAGTCAAGAAAAAAAAAAAAAAAAATGAAAATTGAGATTATTTTACTCCACTAACAAAATTTTTAAAAGTTTAACAGCAGTGAGGGGGATTCATTAAGTTCCATGAATTTCAAGGCAAAACATACAATGGCACTATTTGAACTCTCACAACTTTTCCTTTGGATCAAGGTATGTCTCGATATTTAGTTACCATGGTGACCCTTGGTGGAATACTACACGAGTTTATAGGAAAGTGGTAGGTAATACAACAAACATTTAGCCAACAGAGCTAATAGAGATTATAACCCAGTAGCTCAAAAAGCATTATGAATGACGTGAATGTAAGACAGGTAACACTTTCTAAGTTTTTTGACTTAGGACGACATAAATAGGCATTTAACTGCCATGTGTTTACACAAATAATTTACAACTTTCAACTATAGCAAGATAAATTTTCTTACACTGAGCACAAAATAAACCATTTCCTAAAGTAAGACTGAGAGACAGGAACACTTCAGAAAATAAATTTGACCATATATGCACCTTTAGCTAAGCCAGAAGAAACTGCTCAGAAATGCTGATTATCCTAAGAACATGAATGTTCACAGTCACAGATCTGGTCACAGTACATTTTTTATATGTCTGTAATATTATAAGCACAGGTATTCTACTGTGGTATAGTCAATAAATGGTGATATAACAATATTCAGACACTTCGGTGAAACACTGCTGCAGCTAGTTCTGGTAACAGCTTAAACTTCTGCTTTGAACATACTGATGGGTTGACAGTCAAGCACAGAGAAGTTCAGACTGCTAAAAATAGAAAATAGATGTCAAAAGAAAGTAAATAAAGGACAGGCTATACAAAATAAAGCCCTATGAAACCAAGATGTAATCAAAGGTCTTCAAAAGTAAGCAAAAATCCCCAACGAAACGACATAGATCAGTGAGAAGGTAGGAAAAAGAAAGTTCTTTAGCTTTACTGCCTGAAAACAAATGGTAAGCGTCATCTGTATTTTAATGATGTGTAACATACTGGAGTTCCTTATACATTTCATAAGAGATCAATTCAAAATAAATTCAATCAGAAAGCAAAAGCTTGCACAGTAATGTTTTGAAACAGGATGCCCACTAAAACAGTTTTAGGAAAGGGTAGGGGGAATAAAAAGAGAAGGGAACGTCCCTGGGGCTAAATACTATGAAATATGTTACAAAGTAAGCTGCTCAAATGCTGTCAAGGCAAGGAAAGCAAGCTACAAATACTATATGCTTTTTAGGAGAGTCCCTAGAAGACATTCCAAACCATCATGCAGAAGAGTTTTCTGCTGTATGCTAAGAGTAAAGAAAAAGACCTGGAAAAACTGACGTTTTTTGAAGCACAAAAATATGGACAGTAATTATTGCAAAAAGAAGGCATGCCCTGGAAAAAAAACATCACTTTTGGGGAGGGGAGAAGAAGATGCATTGTTATACATAAAACACCCTGATTACCTGTTCCCTGTTGAATCTTGGGAAATCTGTAAGTTTGGAATAATAGAAGAAACACCATATTCATCCTGATACTTCTTACACGTTTTATAATGCTGTCTCATCCACGAAAATCTAACCTGTAAATGAAATGCCAAATTATTGAAATTATACTAAAAATCCAGGGATAGAAGGAAGAGCTAATTCTGCCAACAGAAAGTAATGCATGCAATTATATAGACATCATATGCAGCAGAAACCAGAACTTGTGTCTCCCCTCTCAGCATGAACACTTTCTTGCCCAACAGGAGATCTTCGATTCCTTTTTCCATAGAGCCTCTGTCACTCTGTGAGACCAGAGAACATTCCCACTCCCCAAACCCCCAACAGCCAGGCGCCTGAGAGCTCTCTCAGGGGTGAAAGATGCGAGTAAACTCCATTTAACTGAAACAAAGTCACAGGAACTACACCTCCCACATCCAGGATCAATAACTGATGAGCTACAACAGAGAAGGGCCACGAGGATGGGATAAGCACCACTGTTCCTTCAGTCTTCTCTGGCCTGCTGTTACCTTGTGCAGAGCAAAATCTTTTTGCATTAGGTGTGTTCTGAGAATACATAACTTTTCTCATTGAGAGGGAAAGGGTTAAAAAAAAATAAAGGAGGAGGTGAATGTACACCAACTTAATGCTGCCTATCCACCTTAAATGCAAGGTAAGACTATGAGTTGCTTAGATTTGTCAGAAGGCAGCTGTGCCGGACATGCCCTAAATCAGATTTTCGGGTCCAACAGCACTGTCAGAAAGCGCTCACGGGTTTAGAGGCTGAACAAGATCACATCTCACATGTCTGTGCCTAAATTCCATTAAAGTTTTTCTGGGGATCTGTTTGGTTCTTCCTTCCAGTTTACCAACTTGGTATCGTTTCTTTCTCCCAGTTTTTCATCCTAATGAATCATGTGGAACAAAGCAAGCAGCTCAGCTTTCCACTAGTGCTAATCTTCACACTGGCAGAACTGAGTCCCAAGTGAAAAGAAACAAACACGAAGACTACCCGGATCTGATGCAAGTTGATATAAACAAAATGTGTGGCTGAAATCCTGCATCCATTTATACCAGAAGAGAGATTACTCTTGACTTGAGTGAGGGTCAAGATTTCACCAATGTTCTGAAAATAATGACCCCTTTACAAAGGGAATGAAGGAAATGTAAACGGACTGATGGGGCAGGGGGAAAACTACAAATGATTCTATGTACGCCAAGAGTTATCAACTCATTTTTTTGGTCTTAAATTAAATTTTATGGTAGCTCTAAGAACTTTCATTTCCATAGTGAAAGTTTCTGAGGTTTTCCATGTATCTGCAACTTTCATTTTCAGTTGTCTAACTTTTTTTTTGCCAGTTTTATAGCCATATCCAGTTTTCGCATTGCTTTGGGGAAAAACTGGCACTCCACTTAAAAAGTCCTTACAGGCAATACAAGATCCTCTTTCAGTTTACACCTGTTAGGCATACCTGGCAGGCACTGCATGCCCGGTATATGCACAAGCCATACAAAGCTAAGCTCAAACTGCTATAGGCTCTTTAGCTCCAAAACAAGAACGACACACAGTCAAAGTGCGTCTGGTCAAAAATAAGAAGTTATCCAACTTTTTGTAAAGTTTTACTCTACCTGCTTCTCACAGCATCTACAGCCCCCAGAAGCTTTCTTCATACTGTTTTCAACATCTAGAGCCCTTTTGGGATACGTTCTTTCTTTTTTAGTCACGCTCCCCCGGCAGAGAGGACAATGCGTTCCACTTTCTCTGATAGCTGTCAGGAAGCACTTCCTGCAAAACCTAAATTAAAAAGTTACCACAAACACAGGTTAGCAAAGTGAAGAGAGTTAGATACTTTGTCCTTGAAGAGAGCTAGGTACCATTAGGAAAAAAAGATATATATCAGAGTAATAGCCTACTGAATACAAATATTTATAAACACAAGCAAAATGAAATAACGGTGCTTACAAAGAAGTGTACGGAAAGTAGGGGAACTTGGCGATGCACCTTAGGTAAAGATCTTACTATTTACTGACCAGTATTCCTGAGCTGTACGCTGGATTGATCATTAATGAGATATTAAATGGTGCAGCAGGCACATGATACTGGAAAACCTTATCAGAGTAACTCCTGTTTATTGTCCTTAAGCGGAGCCAAAACCACTGCAAAGCTTCACCGAGCACGCATTTCCGAAGACCGTAGTTCATCGCCTTTGGCAGTTCTCTCCCCTTCCTCGCGTACCAACTGCCAAAGCTATTTTGCTTTTCTACCAAGCGCTACTTTGTCATTACACGTTCCTCTGAAAAACGCGGAACAGATGAACTGAGAAGAGAGAACAGCTACGCTAAGGTCCTCCTTTGACAGCGAACGGTAAACTATAAAGTTAAAAACGCGACTGAGGTTAGCCGTGCGAGATGTTTCCGTCGGCAGTAAAGCCCGGCCACCACCGCCCAGGCCCAGACAAGCGGGGCTTCCATCCGGAGGGGGCTCTCCTCACCGACCGCTCCCCCGTGGCTACAAAGGAAAGCGGCGAGGGAAGGCCG